TGCAGGGGGACTGAGTGGTGAGGGGCTCCTGACAGAGTGGGCCAGGTGACTGGAGGACTTCCCTGGACAAGGTCACTGTCAGGCTGGCTTCTGGGTAGCGCAGGTTAAGACCTGGTCTAGACCTAGGCTCCTGCACCTCAGGGATTTGCCTTGGGACAAGGACAGGCACCTCCCTACACTCTCCTTAATTAAGAGTGAGTTGACAGTGCCTACCTGGAGGATTCCTCCTGCCTAACCCATCAGCGGAAAATTGGATTAAAGATTTACTGAGCATGGTCCTGCCCATCAGAACAGGACCCAGTTTGCACCATAGCTGCTACCTTCCATCAGGAGGCTTCCACAAGCCTCTTTACCTTATCCAGCAGAGACCAGACAGAATGAAAACCTCAATCACAGAAAACTAACCAAACTGATCACATGGATCACAGCCTTGTCTAACTCAATGAAAGTGTGAGCCATGCCATATAGGGCCACCTATAAGACAGGTGGGTCATGGCAGACAGTTCTGACAAAATGTGGTCCACTGCAGAAGGGAATGGCAAACCACTTCAGCATTCTTGCCTTGAGAACCCCATGAACATTATGAAAGAGCAAAAAGATATGACACTGAAAGATGAATTTCCCAGGTTGGTACATGCCCAATATGCTACTAGAGAATAGCAAAGAAATAGCTCCAGAAGGAATGAAGAGGCTGAGCCAGAGTGGAAGCAACGCCCAGTTGTGGATGTGCCTGGGGGGTGAAGGTAAAGTCTGATGCTGTAAAGACCAGTACTGCACAGGAAGCTGGAGTGTTAAGTCCATGAATCAAGGTAAATTGGAAGTGGTCAAAGGCGAAATGGCAAGAGTGAGCATGGACATTTTAGGAGTCAGTCAATTAAAATGGACCGGAATGGACGAATTTAATTCAGATGACCATTATATCGACTACTGTGGGCAAGAATCCCTTAGAAGAAATGGAGTAGCTTTCATAGTCAACAAGAGAGTCTGAAATGCAGTACTTGGGTGCTATCTCAAAAATGACAGAATGATCTCTGTTCATTTCCAAGGTAAACCATTCAGTATCACAGTAATCCAAGTTTATGCCCCAACCACTAATGTGGAAGAAGCAGAAATTGAGTGGTTCTATGAAGACCTACAAGACCTTCTAGAACTAACACCAAAAAAGATGTCCTTTTCATCATAGGGAACTGGATGTAGAAGTAGGAAGTCAAGAGATACCTGGAGTAACAGGCAAGTTTGGCCTTGGAGTACAAAATGTAGCAGGGCAAAGGCTAACAGTTTTGTGAAGAGAATGTACTGGTCATAGCAAACACCCTCTTCCAACAACACAAGAGAAGAGTCTACACATGGGCATCACCAGATGGTCAATACTGAGATCAGATTGATTATATTCTTTGCAGCTGAAGGTGGAGAAGCTCTATACAGTCAGCAAAAACAAGACCAAGAGCTGACTGTCACTCAGATCATGAACTCCTTATTGCCAAATTCAGACTTAAATTGAAGAAAGTAGGGAAAACCACCAGACCATTCTGATATGACCTAAATTAAATCCTGTATGATTACACAGTGGAAGTGACAAATAAATTCAAGGGTTTAGATCTGATAGAGTGCCTGAAGAACTATGGACAGAGGTTCGTAACATTGTACAGGAGGCAGTGATCAAGACCATCCCCAGAAAAAGAAATGCAAAAAGGCAAAATGGTTGTCTGAGGAGGCCTTACAAATAGCTGTGGAAAGAAGAGAAGCGAGAGGCAAAGGAGAAAAGGAAAGATATACCATCTGAATGCAGAGTTCAAAAGAAGAACAAGGAGAGATGAGAAAGCCTTCCTCAGTGATCAACGCAAAGAAGGAGGAAAACAATAGAATGGGAAAGACTAGAGATCTCTTCAAGTAAATTAGAGATACCAAGTGAATATTTCATGCAAAGATGGACAGAATAAAGGACAGAAACGGTATGGACCTAACAGAAGCAGAAAGTAATTAAGAAGAGGTGGCAAGAATACACAGAAGAACTATACAAAAGAGATCTTCATGACCCAGATAACCACGATGGTGTGATCACTCACCTAGAGCCAGACATCCTGTAATGCAAAGTCAGGTGGGCCTTAGGAAGCATCACTGGGAACAAAACTAGTGGAGGTGATGGAATTTCAGCTGAGCTCTTTCAAATCCTGAAAGATGATGCTGTGAAAGTGCTGTACTCAATATGCCAGCAAATTTGGAAAACTCAGCAGTGGCCACGGGACTGGAAAAGGTCAGTTTTCATTCCAATCCCAAAGAAAGGCAATGCCAAAGAATGTTCAAACTACCACACAGTTGCACTCATCTCACACCCTAGCAAGGTAATGTTCAGAATTCTCCAAGCCAAGCTTCAACAGTATGTGAACCAAGAACTTCCAGATGTTCAAGCTGGATTTAGAAAAGGCAGAAGAACCAGAGATCAAATTGCCAACATCCATTGAATCATCGAAAAGCAAGATAATTCCAGAAAAACTTCTACTTCTGCTTCAGCCTTTGACTGTGTGGATCTCAACAAACTGTGGAAAAATCTTAAAGAGATGGGAATACCAGACCACCTTACCTGTCTTCTGAGAAATCTATATGCAGATCAAGAAGCAAGAGTTAGAACCTTACATGGAACAATGGACTGGCTCCAAATTGGAAAAGGAGTACATCAAAGCTGTATATTGTCACCTGCTTATTTAGCTTCTATGCAGAGTACATCATGATGCTGGGCTGGATGAAGCACAAGTCGGAATCAAGATTGCTGGGAGAACTGTGAATAACTTCAGATATGCAGATAACACCACTCTTAACGGCAGAAAACAAAGAGGAACTAAAGAGCCTTTTGATGAAAGTGAAAAAAAGAGAGTGAAAAAGCTGGCTTAAAACTCAGCATTCAGAAAACGAAGATCATGGCATCTGGTCCCATCACTTCATGGCAAATAGATGGAAAAAACAGTGGCAACAGTGAGAGACTTTACGTTCTTGGGCTCCAAAATCACTGCAGCCATGAAAGTAAAAGACACTTGCTCCTTGGAAGCAAAGCTATGATCAACCTGGACAGCATATTAAAAAGCAGAGACATTACTTTGCCAACAAAGGTCCGTCTAGTCAAGGCTATGATTGGAGTGATGTTTTCAAGTTGCTTGGCGTCTGATACACAAGGCTGTAGGGAGAGGCCAGCAAGCCCATCTCCGACTGCTCCCGCCAAGCTACATTTGGAAGTGTGATAGGAGCCCTTGTTTGCGGACTTAGCACTAGTCTTAGTTGTTTTCAGGTCAAGTTCAGCGGTCCTCCGCAAAGATGCCCTCTGTAGATGTGGAGAGGGCCTGCTGCAGAGAAGAGTGGCAGGCACTCTGTCCAGGCCGAGAGCCAGCGAACATGGGAGCTTCCTTCTCTTTAGTCCTTGAGTTTAGGAAAAGGTGCTTAAACTGTTCTCTGCCTGCTGCCCTGCCCCACACTTAATATTTTTTCCCCTGCTTTTGATCTCAAAATAACTCACTCTCTTTGCTGCACAAGTTTTAGGTTTTGTTACCTGTTTCCTTTGGTTCTAGGAGGCCAGATACTGTGTGTTCCACTCCCTGTGTTAGAAGGCTTATTGGATACACAAGTTACAAAGTTACATCAGAGACAGAGAAGCTACATAGCCAGTCCTTTAAGAGAATGCGTTTCCTGTTGTTTGAGCACTGCCTGTATTTGCATGGAGTCTTTACAGTGGAGTGAGTGAACAGCTAGACTGTGGGAGAGCATGCATTTTAACCCTTTGTCCCGTCACAGCTCTCCCCACTTAAGTACTTGTTTCTCTTTGTAAAAAACCAAGTAGGTCAGAGTTGGCTTTCTGGCTTACCCTTGGGATGAAGTGAAGCTTGCTGGCGAGGGTTCCGTGGAGCACCATGGCGTTCATGGATCATTAGTGTGCAGGGGGCTCCAGTCGCTGATCGCCTGGCCTCTCCCCATCTTCCTGGGTTGTTGTCCTCAGGCACTTCTGACTTAGGAAGAGCCCTTGGATCAGAGTCCTTGGGCAGCAGTGGTACCCCTCCTGCAACTGGGGTCTTCTCTCTCCCCCCTTCCCACAGACTCCTCACCAGGCGGGCACACTGCCCACTGGGCCCCCAGGTGCCCCCCTCATTCTTGCCCAACCTTTGAGTTGCCTTCCCTGTCTTCACATGTCCCTTGCTTTCTTCAAGATATGTCTGCTGACTCACTGCCATCAACTGTTTTCTCACAAATGTTATGACATCTCTGCCTAGCGTCCATTGGTACCTGCCGGTCCCACTGTCTTGTTTGCTTGTGGCCATTTATCTGTTAGACCATTGAGGCCTCCGGGCTGGTTGCAGTGCCAGATGGGGAGGCAGTGATGGAGACCTCTCTTGAGGCTCGGGTCTGCCATCGACTCCTGTGAAACCCTGGGCCTGAGCAAGGCACTGTGGATTTTCCTTGAAAGGAGACTGAGGAATTGGATTAGCTCCTTGAAGTTTCCTTGATCTCCAGAGTGTCTTCAGCGCTTATCCAGAGAGTCTGATTTGTTGCTTATGATATAGATACTCTTCATAGGAAATTATTCTTTTAAAGCAAAGTGAGAAGAGAATATCTAGATTTTTGTGGCCATGTGATAGTTTGTGATACATGAATGCAGTGTCACAGAATAAACATTGTAGGATATACAACGAAGTCTATGTAATTAAAAAAAATTTCAGAGTAAAACTTGCTTCCACTGTAGTTATTGTAGGTGAACAGGAGTGAACTTTTCTTCCAGAAACTAGAAAGCATCATCTCCCGCCCCCCCCCCCCCCTCGCCATTTGAGTGCCTCTAAACACTAGTGTTTGTTACACATTGCTTTTTCTGGAAGGAAACTTCAGGAATATGGCTCCTGCAAGGTAAGATCTTAATGTCTCCAGGCTGAGCCACTGCCGTGCCCTGTTTTTTTACTTGATTTTGTTCTTTGGAAATGTAGGGCTTTTCCTCTTTGTCTTTTCTTTCTCTCTGTAGTCAGAAAATGGGTAAGAAGAGCCGAGTGAAAACGCAGAAATCAGGCACTGGTGCTGCAGCAAGCGTGTCCCCGAAGGAAACCTTGAACCTGACCAGTGAGCTTTTGCAGAGTAAGTCCCAACTCGGCTGCCCGCCTTTGGGGGGCACATGCATCTTTCCTTGTGGGGAGGGGGTCCCTGGTCTGGGGAGCAGGAGGTGAAACAGACTATTGTCAGTTCCCAGCTGGTTAGCCATGGGACCTGGCACATTACCCATCTTCCCAGCCCGCAGTCTCCCCAGCTGTAAACATGGAGAAACGGTACCAACAGTAACTGTTACCTAACAGGTATGGGGCCGGCTGTGACTGTCCCTCCCCGAGTGCTCCCATCCTCCCCTGTGGGTGCCCGCCGCAGATCAGCATGGGCCCCCACAGACACACTCCCCCACCTGCTCCTTCCCGCATGTCTCCTCAGATAGACTGTAGATGGCCTAAGGACAGACTCCTGTATCCCAGGGCCTCAGTCGGTGTCGATGGAAGAGGGAAGTAAGACTGGTTAACCTGATAGTTACACATCAACACATAACTAGTTACTATTCATTATTTACACATCTAGTCTTCTCCTTGGGGAACAGAGTGGGCCTAGAGGTTTGGCAGGAGCGTGAGGCGCGGTCTCTGTCTTTTAAACCGATGCAGCTGTTTAAAGAGGGCAGGGCCCTGGCAGGCAGGGACCTGGTGTGCGGCCCTCCACAGCGCCCGTTCTGGTCCGATGGTGGGATCCTTGCTGCTGTGTTAGCAGCAGCTGTGCCGTCTCTTTGTAACTCCCCCAGAGCGCTTATTATAGAGCCTTACGCATGGGTGTGAAACGTTTGTTGACTGATTGTCCTTATGTCCAATTTATCTGGTTCCCTTGGGGAGTCATTGTTATGGGGTTTAACTCAAAATAAATGTTGACTTTTAATGTACCTTCTTCTTACCATCCACAAGAGTTTTCAGGGAAATGTTTCGCATGTTAGCTTAGCTTCTTAGATTTTCCTGTTTATGAGTGTATTCTGAGGAAACTTGATCCGAGGAGCAAGAATGAGGTAGATGCAGGTAAGGTGCCCACACCTGTGTCTGTGTGCACCGTGTAACACTGGGCCTGGGTGGCTTCAGAGGGATTGTGTCTGACTCTTTGTGACCCCATGGGCTGTAACACGCTAGGCTTCTCTGTCCATGGGATTCTCCAGGCAAGCATACTGGAGTGGGTGGCAGTTTCCTCCTCTAGGTGATCTTCCCAACCTAGGGATCAAAGCCCCATCTCCTGCATGGGCAGGCGGATTCTTTATCGCTGAGCCACCAGGGAAGCCGCTCTCAGAGGATTTATGTGCTTTAAAAAAGCATACCTGGTCTGTACTTCTCAGCTCGGTCATCACAGCTACAGTATCTTTGTCCTTTAAAAGTAAACCAGCAGCGATGACAAAACCCAGATCCTCTTTCTTCTGAAGGCTAACAGGCTAAGGTGAAAGAAAGCTGTTGGCATGCCATAGCTTCTGTGTTACAGAGTGCAGTAGCCCTGCCCCTGGCCCTGGAAAAGAGTGGGAAGAGTATGTGCAGATCCGGTCTCTGGTGGAGAAAATACGAAAAAAGCAAAAAGGTAAATTTCCTCGAGCGACCTTACTCTAATAATATCCTTTGGGGACCTGGCCCAGGCAGGGCAGAGCAGTTTTGAGAAGGGAGGTCTCCGCATGGAACCTCAGGCCTCATGCCTGTCTGGAGGGTGTCTGTGGGAGGGCTTCTAGGTTGGAGGGGAAGCTGCATCAGAAAACCATCAGGGTGTTTCCCATTTCTGAGGCACTATGACTGCTTTGGAAGGAATAAAAATGTTAAGCTTCAGGTGGGGGGAATGTGTCTGGGGACTGAAATGATACAACTTTCATTGATCTTTACTTTATGAAATATGTTTTTAAATCTGTTTTGGTATCCTGTGTTTCCTTCAGGGTTTGAGGTCAGTACATGATGTTGTATGGTCAGCACACAAATATATTTGGATTGATTAGTGTCTTGTTAAATAAGATTTATGATGAACTCAAATCTATCTTGATTGAATGAGAGAGTTAGCTATATTTGTCAAGCTGTGTTCTTTCAGGGTGTATTCAGTAGGCATCTTAATGATTCTCAACCAGGCTGGCAACAGGACCAAGTGTCAATTTGGAAAAGTTTGTTCAATATACCTATTGTTTTTGTGCTGTAAGGCGCAAAAAGTAGATTTGTATGCAGGCCACAGGGAAAGTGGGAGGAGAGAACACAGTAAGGAGCCTGCGTTTAAAAGGATGAAAGGACTTGGCTCCCTGTCTGTTTCTCGCTGTGGAAGTGGGAAGGGGGTGTTCCTCACTGCGCTGGCAGGTGTTAAGTGTCCGTGCTGTCCTGTAGCGCCTGCACACTTGCAGGCTTCAGGTGGGACGGTCTCAGACCCTCATGGGGACTGGCCCTTTTAGAGTGTTTGTTTGCACTGGTTGGTACCCTGTGCTCATCCTGGCTCACCATGTTGATTGCTAAACAGTTTTTGTATGTCCTGAGTCTCTCTTCTGAGTAGAGCTCGTTTACTACCCCTGGCACTAAAGTTAGAGCATTCATTTGTTCTCACTAAGGGAAGAGTACATTCTGTCTTAGAGTATCCTTCACAAACTCAGTTTTCTCCAGTTAGCAGGTCTCACCTGGCACAGCCCCACGATCCAGTTACCCGTGAATTGTGTCCTGGGGGCATGGCCACAGGCCCTGGGCTGGATGCCATGCCCAGCATCTCATGTGGTTAAAGTTCCTATTCTCCCCTTATTCCTCAAAAAAATGATGATTTTTCCTATGCATGGCTTTTCACCTTTTTTGATATTTTAAATGTGCTGCGAGGCCCAGAAGATCACCCCTAAGCATCCACTGTATCACCTGGACACGCGCCCGAGTCTTGTTGGGTCAGGTTCTTGTTTCCTCCCTTCCCACCTACTGGTCCCATCTCTTCCCCTCCCTCTGTACTTTGATTGGTTCTTATATTTGTTTTTAAGAAAGGAGGTGTCTCAGGGATAGCTGAAGCCCCACCCCCCCCCGCCCCAATCAGGGGGGTTGTCTTTACAGTGAATGTGTTTCTGCTTCATTTATAACCCCATACAAATAGATGGTACTACTTGGTATTTTAACAGTTTACATAAATGGTATCACACTATTGCATTTTCAAGAAAAAATACATTATAAAGTTTTGTGTTTTATTTACAGTGATACATACGAATCCTGTCATCTCAGATGCTGGGTGGAATCCAGAGCTCAGCTTTGTGCTCTTAATCAGGGTCTAGGGCTCCCCTTCCACACGTGTCTTCGTGCACATGTGTGCGTTGCTGATCTTGGTGCTTGTGGGAGTTTTGTTTGTGTGTGCATATGAGAGAGGGCAGGTTGCTCTGGAAACCTGCCTGGTCAGAAGTCTTCCCATGATACCATCCCTTGATATCACCTGATAGAACCGAACAGCCAGTGTTCATGTTACCTGGGATCCGCAGCTGTTTCTCTGTAACCAGCAGTGGCATTTAGTGTTTTAACTTGCCTTTCCTGTCACTAGTTAAGGTATGCACTGTGACTGTCTGGTGGTCGGTTTTTTTTTTTTTTTTGAGATTGAAGTCTTATTACTATTTCCAGGTAGTTAGTTCCAGTAGTCTATTTTTTATTTTCTGTGGCAGCGTGACTGATACATGTCCTCAAAGTAGCTCTTGTTCTCTAACACCTGGATGAATATAGGTCTGTCTGTTACTTTTGATGGAAAAAGAGAAGATTACTTTCCTGATCTAATGAAATGGGCCTCTGAAAATGGAGCCTCTGTTGAGGGTTTTGAAATGGTGAACTTCAAAGAAGAGGGCTTCGGTTTGAGAGCAACGAGAGATATCAAGGTGAGTTTGTAGGTCAGCTGTGGGTCTGGGTGGGCAGGGAGCTCAGTGTTTGGGTGGTGTATGGTGTGGAGGGCCCAGGACCTGGGGACAGATGCCTTGGGCTGAGTTCTGAGCCTATGGGCACCTCGGCTGTGCCGTCCACAGCCCCCCTCCCTGCCCTGCAGCCTCCTATTTGGTCTCATGGGTCCGGAGGAGCCTCGACTCAGGGTTCAAGGCAGCCCCTTCCAGGTCGTCCTTGGAACTATACTGTTAACCAGTGACCTTGTGATGGATTGGATGCGGGGTCAGGTGGAGGATCGACAGTGTTGAGGGTGGAGACCTGTTTTCTGGATGGATAACTATGCCTGGAGGTACCACTTACTGAGATGTCAGCAGCAGGGGCGGTGGGAAAGAAGAAGGGACTGGTGCTCTTCTCCAACCTCAGTCCTTCCTCTGGTTGAGGGAGCAGCAGCCTCCCTGACAGCAGCCTCCCAGCAGCTGAGGGAGCAGCGGCCTCCCTGACCAGCTCCAGGCCTCCCTCTGGCGCTCACTCCTGCCTCTCCTAGAGAGGAGGCATAGCAGTCTTGACGGTTCTGGAAAAAGGAACTGGCCTTTTTCTCCATGGAGCTGGTTGCCATGTGTGTCCACCTCCCCACCCTGGGAGTTTACAGGGGAGGCCTGTGAGGCTCCAGTCCTGCCTGTAACTAGGTGGGGGAGTCAGTCTAATTCTGGGATTCCGTAGGTGACGTTTTGTGTGACCATCTGTTGTATTCTTGTGTCTCTCTCAGTTGGTTCAGAACTTAGGTGGAGGAAATGGGTATTATTTATTTGGGTCCCCTCAAACTCCCAACAACACTTGTGGTCAAGTTGGAGTTTACTTTTCAATGATACATTGATAAGCCATGCACTGTTTTATTAGATAGCCGTTGAATAGCTAGTATGTGAATAGTCCCTTGTTCATCATCATACCATGCTTCCCAAAACACCAGGCCCTTTCCCTTCATGACACTTGTGGTGTGTGGTAAGGGACCAGACACGTGAGAGGGAACGGGCGACGCTGGTGAGCGGCCCGAGCAGACATGTCTCAGAGGAGCAGCCCTGGGAGTGTGGCTGCTGCCTGCAGTGTCTTGGTGCTGGCGTCTTCATGGTGTGCATGTGTTTTATTTATTCAGGCTTTACTGAAGCATAATTGATACACAACTGCACATCTTTAATGAATGCATTTTGATGAGCTTGGACATAGGTGTGTATCTGTGACACCATCACCTCTCTGAGGCACTACTAAAGCAGTGTCCATGCTTTAGGCAGTATAGACACACATGCAGGACTGCCTGAACCCAAGCCTTCATGTTGCCAAGATAGTGAGGTGATGCTGTTGGAAAAAATCGGTAACCAAAATGCGTCTCATGGGCGTGTGCTCTCACTGGTAACCCTGTGCTTTGAGGGCAAACATGTAGAGGAAGGGAGGTTACTCTGGCCTCAAAAACCCAGTGGCGATTCACACTGGCAGGTGAGGCTTTTTGTGGAAGGTAGGATTTTGTCTTGTTTTTAGATTTAATGTAAGTATAGCTAAGAGTGAATAAACAAGGTGGTTAAGAATTCTCCTTTCAATGTAAGGGATACCAGTTCAACCCTTGGTCCAGGAAGATCCCACATGCCGCAAAGCAGCTAAGCCCATGTGCCACAACCACTGAGCCAGCTCCCCAGAGCCTGCGCCCGGCAGCTCCTGAGGCCTGCGGCCCCAGGGCTCGTGCTCTGCCATAGCGCGAAGGTGCGCGGCAGCTAGAGAAACGCCCACACGGTAACGGAGACCCAGCACAGCCCAAAATAGATAAATCTTAAAAAAAGACCAGTGAATAAACACCCTGTGCTCTACCCCACGTTGTTCTGTTTGCTTCAAATTCAAGTTGAAAGCTACTGTTTTCATTTCTTCTCACTGTGTTTAGTTTTTCTTTGGATGTGCTGTTTAGTCGCTCAGTCGTGTCTGACTCCTTTGAGACCCCATGGACTCCAGCCCTCCAGGCTCCTCTGTCCATGGGATTCTCCAGGCAAGAATACCAGAACGGGTTGCCATTTTCTTCTACATTCCTTTGGATACAGGTTTCAAGATCATGCGTATACTCATTAAACTATACTAAAAATGTTTATATTTAGAAGTATGTTTGATCATTAGAAATGAAATGCCAGTTGGCAACTTTAAGTTGTGTTTCCTTGTGACTGGATTTCTGACCATGGATGTGGTTGGATTGACAATTGTAACATGTTTTGGTAATTCTAGTCTTCTTATTTTTTCCTCCTAGGCAGAAGAATTATTTTTATGGGTTCCACGAAAATTACTAATGACTGTTGAATCTGCTAAAAATTCAGTGTTGGGTGAGAATAATTTCTGTTTGTTGAAAGGAGAGCAAAAATGATAAAAATATATAAAATTTCATTTTGTGAGGGAAGGACTGTCTTTGGTTGTTTTCTAGACTAGTGAGATATTTCCCACAGTCCCCATGAAGTGTTTTCCACGCTTGTAATATGACATAGTAGAAGAATGGCAAAAGAATGGGGCACTTAAACTTTAAATGTTATGAGACTATCAGGTTGCTCCTGTAACTTTAATGTATCTTTTGAAATGAACACTGTATAAGGCAGTTTGTGGCACTAATGCTGTTAACTTCTGGGTTAATTTAGGACCCTTGTATTCTCAAGACCGAATTCTTCAAGCCATGGGGAACATAACACTGGCCTTCCATCTGCTGTGTGAGCGGGCCGACCCTAACTCATTCTGGCAGCCCTACATCCAGACCCTCCCCAGCGAGTACGACACCCCTCTCTACTTCGAAGAGGATGAGGTTCGCTACCTGCAGTCCACACAGGCCATACACGACGTCTTCAGCCAGTATAAGAACACGGCGCGGCAGTACGCGTACTTCTACAAGGTCATCCAGGTGAGCGGGTGCTGGCGGGGTGGGGGAGGAGGAGAACCGAGTGCTTGAGTGCTGCCCTTAAGTGTTCTGCTTTCTAAGGGAAGAGGCGTGGGGTGCATGTTTCTGTTTTTACAACATGTCACTGAAATGTAGTTGGAATACATCTGATTGCCTCGATGCCCCTGTGAAAACAAGCAGCCATTACTCCCATCTCTTGAAAGTCATGACATTGTTCTGGAAGCAGAAGATAACTTTGGAATGTTAGAAGTCACTCAAGTCTATCTGATACAAGAAGATGCTCCAGGCCTAAATTTTCCAAGAAAAGGAAAATCCCTTTATGGATTCTTCATATACACGTTAGTAGTAAAGTACTGACAGTTGATTTCTTTATGTTTTTCCAAGTGTACACTGTAGTATATTAACTGTAATCAGTTCGAAGTTCTAAGTCACGCAGAAGTCTCTATGAGGGGGTGAGCATTTGAGTTATGCCTCGTTGCTCCTTGCTGTGCTGTAGCAGTCCAGCCAACATCCCTACATCCTCGTTCCGTTCAAGTCGGTCGGCACTCAGATGGTGGAGGGTCAGTGTCATGGCTGCCTTGGAGCTGAGAAGGGGCGGAGGTCTCTGCCCCCTGATGCACCCTGTTTCTCATTTGCCCACAAGTCAGGTCCTGGGCTTCTGTACCTAAGGAGCGGCCGGTGAAAAATGAGCTGTTCCCTTCCCTTTTCTTTGGGCAGTTTGATAGCCTGAATTAGGCCTGATACGGCTGTTCCCTTAGCTGGTATGTCTCTGCTGTGTTTCATCTGTAAGAAATGGTGATCTCATTTCATTGCAACAGGAAATAAATGTTTGTCTATTCAGCATGCTTACTGCACAGGAATATTGCACTCAAAAATTACATCCTTCAGTGGGTCAGATACTTCAGATATATAAAAAAACTGTATGACTCTTATCTTCAAGCAGAAATCTCTGCTTTTCTAAACTTTAAACTTCAGGAAGTCATTAAGAATTATTGTACAGTATCTATACATTGTTTACTTCAAGTGTGCTTGACTTGAAAAAAGACCGATTGAGCCAAATAAAAATTTTGGTTATTCAGTTAGTTTGCACCTACCCTCCTGCAGTCTGAAGTTTGGTGTGGTTCTTCGTGACCTGAAAGGGTTGTGCTTTTTTTCCAAGTTCTTGTTCGCGTGTCTTTAGTGACTAAACGTGAAGCTGACCCTGGCAGGTCTGAGCCTCTGTCATTTCCTATCATTAGGCAGCAACCTGGAAACTAGCTCTTTCCATGAATGCGTTTCTCAAATCGGGGCGGTTAGACGGCGAGTGCCAGCGGCTTGCCCTGAGAAGCAAGGTAGCGCCTCCGCGGTCAGGTCAGGAATTCTGGAACTGTGCCGGGTCTCCTGACAGCTGGCTTGGTAGAATGATCTCTGGGTTTTCACTGCACGCACCGGTCCGTTGATTTCAGCCTTAATGAAGTAGTGCGGTTTTGCTTAGGCAATGATATTTTTAAAGACTGAGTCGCTAAAAGACTCTCTTTGGGAACTGTCTTATGCCGAGTCTCTTAACAACCCTCTGAAATAAACCCCCTTAGGTGATGTTGAGGTGACTGAATTACACCACAGTCTAGGTAGTAAATTGTATTTATTGTGAATATCTCAGGAAGTAGAGAACATTTTAAAAATAAACTTTAATTCAGAGGTTTTTCTAAGAATAATAAAATTCTCACATGACTAACAAGAACAATTTGTATAAATTATAATAAATCCAAATGTCCTTAAAAAGAAAACCCACTTAAAGCATTAATGGACCTATCCGTCATTGTTCCTTGTCGTCATTGTTGTTCAGTCGCCAAGTCGTGTCTGACTCTCTCGCAACCCCTGGACTGTAGCCTCCAGGCTCCTCTGTCCTTGGGGTTTCCTTTATTTATTGTTCCTTTTTATTGAGGAATTTAGCTAATAATCATGAAACAGGATATATCAAATGTGAAAGTATAGTCATCAGGCAAATGTTGGCTTTTTTGCATAATTAAGTCAGTCTTGAGTATTTGAAAAATAATGGTCATGATTGAAGGTACAAAGGGGGTCAAAAGGTAAAAAGAAAAAACATTACAGAATTACAAAGTTTAAAAATATTTTAGGGTGAGATGAAACCCTGTTTTTCTTGACTGTCAGAAGTATCAAACTGAAGAGAGAGCAAAGTGTATTTGTGCCCACTTAATAGGTTCCTCTATTCTACATCAGCGCTTGTCAGCTGGGCGGTCGAAGGGTATTTGTCCTTGAGAGAGTGTGTGGTTATGGTTTTGGTTGTTAGGTTTGGCGGGGTAGAGTGCGGCGGTGGGGGGAATGCTGCTCAACTTCTCATGACGTCCAGGGCAGCCCCCAAACAAGGAATCGCCCAGTGCAGATGTCAGTGGTGCAGAGGCGGAGAACCCTGCTTTATGTTTGTACAGTGAACACAGCACCTCAAACACCAGTGTGATTCCAGAATCCCTAGTAATTGGACACCTAGAGTCTGACTGGCGTTGGTTGCTGGTAGGTCAGAAAGTCTTCCTGGGCCTCTGCCCACCCCCCGCCCACTGGCTGTGGCTGGGGGAATGTGTTTGAAGTGCTTTTTTGTTTGCTTTCATTTAACAAACATCCCTTCTTTTTAAAAATTTACAAGTCTATAACTAGGTTTGGAGATGTTTGAGTTGTTAACGAGTCAAGATGAGATCCTTGTAATTGCATTTGAAAATGAACTCTATCTGGTGGACTGTCATCACTGCTCCACATGAGCTGGTGAGAGTTCAGTCAGGAAGAGGGCAGTGGACTCAGAGAGGGGAAGGACTACATGCCCCAAACAGGGCTGCCCTCACTGAGGGTGGTCTCAAGAAGGGTCGAAGCAGCAGTGAGATGATCTGCCCGTGAGAGAGGCTGCACAGAAAAAACTCAAGCTCTGTGGTAAGACAGACCTGAGTTGAAATCCAAACTTCTTTTGTTTGTTTAGTTGCTCAGTCACATCCGACTCTCTGCAACCCCATGGACTGCAGCACACCAGACTTCCCTGTCCTTCACTGTACCCACAGTTTGCTCAAACTCATGTTCATTGAATCGGTGATGCCCTCCTACAGTCTCATCCTCTGTCACCCCCTTCTCCTTTTGCCTTTAATCTTTCCCAGCATCAGGGTCTTTTCCAGTGAGTTGGCTCTAATCAGGTGGCCAAAGTATTGGAGTTTCAGCTTCAGTCCTTCCAGTGACTATTCAGGGTTGATTTCCTTTAGGATTGACTGGTTTGATCTTTCTGCTGTCCAGTGGATTCTCAAGAGTTTTCTCCAGCATCACAATTAGAAAGCACCAACTCTTTGGTGCTCTGCCTTCTTTGTGGTCCAACTCTCACATCCGAACAGTATGAAAAGGCAAAAAGATATGACAGTGGAAGATGAGCATTCCCCCCTCCCCCCACGCCCGTCCTGGCCCAAGGTTGGTGGGTATCCAGTATGTTACTGGGGAAGAGCAGAGAAATCCTAATAAATATATTTATTAGTTAAACTAAATGTGGTTTGTTGTTAGTTGCTTTACCCTAGCCCTCTGTGTTTGTCTCCTAATCTGTTAGGTAAAACTAGAAGACCAGTATAACTGTTGTCAGTGCAAGTTGGGTTGTTCGCCAAAGCCCTCAGCAAAATCCAGGGCCGCGGTGCCTGTGGATGTGTGAAACACGAAGGAGGTCGTGGTTGGAGCCACCCCAGCCGGGTAGTGGAGACGGTGGCCTCTGGAGCCGGCCTGCCAGGGCTCCAGTCCCCGAAGCTTCATTCTGGGCGAGTCTCTGTGCTTCTGATGGCTTTTCTGCAAAATGGGCTAATACAGCATCTGTCTCCCAGTGGCTGAGTGGGCGAAGTGAGTTAACCTGTGTGAGGCACTCCATCTGGCAGTACCTGTCATGGAAGTACTCGTCCATTTCTGTTTGTGTTTTATTGTTTGAATTGCACCTCCTTTGTCCTACAGTACCTCATGTTAGTGTTCAGCTTTCCTACTAAAATGCCTACTGGCCGTGGATAATGAAGTGCATTCCTATAAGACTTAGGCCTAGAGCCAAGTGACTTTCTTTAATCAGTTAGTTCATGGCTGTGCTGAGTGTTTGTGGCTGTGTGTAGGCTTCCTCTCGTTGCAGTGAGCAAGGGCTTCTCTCTGGTCGCGATGCGCAGGCTTCTCAGTGCGATAGTGCCTCTTGTTGGGAAGCATGGGCACTGGGGCGCATGGCTTTAGTTGCCCTGTGGCATGAAGAATCTTCCCAGAGCAGAGCTCAAACCCCCGCCCCCTGAATTGGCAAGGCAGATTCTTAACCACTGGACTACCAGGAAAGTCCTCCCAAGTGCCTCTTCACAAACTTGAAATTGCTTCCATACCTCATGCTTTTGTTGTTATTGTTGGGTTTTTTTTCAGTCTCATGTTTTTAAATATTAAATGTTAGTCACTCAGTCATGTCTGACTCTCTGCAGTCCCATGAACTGTAGCTCGCCAGGCTCTTCTGTCCATGGAATTCTCCAGGCAAGAATACTGGAGTGGGTAGTCATTCCCTTCTTCAGGGGATCATCCTGACCCAGGAATTGATCTTGGGTCTCCCACATTGCAGGCAGATTCTTTACCATCTGAGCCACCAGGAAGGCCCCCAAAATATTAAAAATTCATGCAGTTGTTTGTTTGTTGAAGTTTGAAAATCATGTGAGGTGACTTACTGTCAAGGTAGATTGGCACTGTAGGAACCAGAACTGCTCTCCCATGATCCTGCATGCCACTGCACACCCCCGCGACCCAGGATCCAGCAGGAGAAACTTGGCTTTACGTGGAGTGAACACCCTGAGCCCCCCGGTGTGGTCAGTGTAAGGGGGCGTCTTTTTCAGGAAAAGCAAATGTGACAGTCACTTGAAATTACCAAAAATAAGGCAACAGAAGAGATGATCACAAATTGAAAATACATCAGAATGAACTTTCATAGAAAATTTCTTTTTTTCCCCAGACTTTAAACTTTTTATTTTGTATTGGGGTAT